GCTTCCTCCTCTTCATACCGTGAAACAAGTGCCCGCCGCGAGTCCTCTCTAAGTCCATCACACCTGCAAAATGAGTTCGGCATCATGAAAAGGCGAAAGAACAAAGCAAAACAAGACAAACCTGAGTAAGGAACCTACCTAAACTCAAACCGGCCTCAATGAGCTTGGCCTACGATAGATAAAGATGGCATTTTTGTCCAAGCCGTGCCCATTGCCGAAGGCCCTTCGCCATCTCTTTATCAAGCGTAACATCGGAGTCAGGGGCGGCCATTCCCCACCCGGTTTGAAACGGCCACCCCAATACACTTCTTACCCCGAAATAATCCCGCTTCCACGCCGGGACCTTGTTGGGAAGTTTGTGTAAAAGCTTAAAACCCGGGCGGGGAGACAGGTAATACGCCCGCCTACGCCCGGGAAGGGGACCCGCTTGCTTCTTAAGCATTAAGATGGAAGAGAAGATCTCCAAGTCTAAAGGGAAGCCCTGTTCGCAAAATAGGGAGATTGTCCCCACCAAGTTATGAATGGAGTTCAGGTGAAGCTGGCCGACAGTAACGCCAAAGTGGTTCATGACCTCGACAAGGAGGGGATGGAAGGCAATCGCAGCCCCGCAGCGAGCTGCTCCCGGAATATCACGATCTCTTCAGGACCGTGTTCCCAAGGAAAGCTATCCGAAGGTATGAAGTAGGCATACTCCCCAGGCAAGTTGTAATAGGTAATAAGGGATTGGAGCCCCTCGGGCGTCATGGTCGAGGGACTGAACTTGTCTAACGTCCGACCTCGACGAGAGGTGGAACCTGCGGTTCACTAGGACCATCAGGGAATGCAACTTGGTTCGTAGAGCCTGCATCGGACCCCCTTGAAGAAGAACCGTCTAAGCTATCTGAGCTAGACATCGGGGAGAGAAGATGGATCCCAGGAAAGTACTCACCCGGAAAAATGCTTGAACGGACTACGGGAACTTGAACACGAGCAGAAGACCTTGAAGGCGAACTAAAGGATTGGACGCGAGCTCAAGAAGCAAAGCGCAGAAGTGACAAGCAACTGGGGTCCCCCCATTATTTATACCCACAGTAACCAAGAATCAATAGCTCAGATCAAAGCCAATCCGACGGCCTGCAGTCGCGTTGACCGCACGTCTCCTGAGACCAAGACGTGACTGGCCACACATCTCTTGAAACTAACTGCACGTCTCCTCACATTAAAGGCAGCAGCAGCACGTTTTCAAATTTGAAAAGATGCCCGCTGTCGCATCTCCCAGCGGCGCGCTTTTTTCAATTTTGAAATAAAGCGTGCCCTGCCACGTCTGCTAGCGGCGCGCTTTTTGAATTTTGAAATAAGGCGCGTGCTGTCACGTCTGTCAGCATTTGTAGGCAAATCGGCGCGTTTCCCGTCTTTTGGGCGCTCGAGAAACCCAAAAAATCTTGACGATGCACCTCGCGCTATCAGTCAAACCGAAGTACGGGACAAATCCACCCTCCACCTCGCGAACTCTCCGCACCAGGGCAAGACCCTTAGCACGAGGAGTGGGGGGCAATTGATGAAGGAAGATTTGGCTCGACCTTGTAACCACTCAACACGTGGCAAAGGCAACAGTTCGGCACAACAGCTCGCCAAGGCGCGAGCTCCGAGAGGAGGAACTAGTGGTCCGAACTCCCCGCAAGGAGCCCGAACTCCCAGTAAGGAGCCCGAGCTCTCCCTTAGGCCCCGAGCCTTACGAACACAAAGGGCAACAAC